GGAAGTGGTCTACTGCTGATGTTTTCTAAACAGCTGAGAGGAGTCAGGTAGATCCTCTGGTAACCCTACGCACTCCCTCAGAGATAGTGACTGCTGTCTTCGTGATACTTTTCAGACCTTTTTAACTCTACATTTAAAAAAAAATATTCTTGTAATATACACAAGCTGGTGTTCCCAAAAGGTCTCGGTGATGTACGGCCATGTCTCGATAATTTTTCTTTGACTCCCAATCCCAAAAGTCCACTCTAATTTAGGAGGATTTTAAACATGAATTCATAATGTTGACTGACTTGCTTCACCCCATGAGCTGCTCTCATTAGAAAGAGCAATTGAGTAACATAACTATGTAAGCATTTCTATCTTTCTTTTTGGTATTGAAAACTCCCAGCCCCATCAATTCCCTGCCAAACTGGAAGTACATATCTCTTGTCTGTTCACCTCAGTGCAACTTAGTGGACTTCAGACAAACAACAGCAAAACACATCAGGGATAAAAAAGGACAGAATTTTAAATGAAAAAATAAATCAATAGCCCATTTTCACAGGGGTTGAATGACTTGTCCTACAGACTGTGTTATCTGTGGAAAAGATCGTGGCACAGTTAATAGAAAGTCCTGTAGCAGAGAGTTAACTCTCTCTTTCAAACAATGACTTCCCATAGTGCTGTGCTTAACTCATCATGTTAACAGCCAAATGTAGTATTATTTTGTCTGGAAAAGTTGTATTTTCTGGTATTTTTTTAAAGTGACACTGCTGAAACTTTCCAGCCATTAACCATGGAACGATCTTAGGAAAGTTAAGACCTGCCTTATAGTGTGGGGAGTCATTCTGGTCCTTCTGGGAGGGTGAAGCCCTGGGAACCTTCAGGAGCATCAACACCTCATTAGAGGCAGGGCTGGCCCAGGATTGTTTCCCAAGGATAACATGAGACAGACAGGTCAATCCAAAGCAACATACAAATCCAAGCAACATACTTTGGTGGCAAGAAAGAAGCAGAGCCCAAAGGGTTAGAAAACCGGAGTCCATAACAATCGGGAAGCTGGAAGGCAGCATCAGCTGAGCTGCTCAAATGGCTGCAATTAACCTCCTGTTGTGACTGGAAGAGATCTCTTCTGCTGCCTCCACGTCCTCCCCCAGTCTCTGTATTACGTTATGGGTTGTAAATATTTGAGGGGCTGTTGTTCATTGGCATTTAGACTGTGCCTAGAAAACATGGCCCAGCAGCTTTCAGGGAGTCCTGGTGGCCAGCTTGACCACAGGGAGGTCTGAGATTGCATGTACTGATCCTGCATGAGCCAGAGCTGTACATTCAAGTACTGGAATTGTTTATGCTGAGGTGTGTGAACTGACTGGAATTGGCTTTAGGAACTGGTACTTCTGTGAATTCTTCATTCCCGTTTTATCCTATACAATGTCCAAAACCAACAGTATCATCAGTCTGGATTTTCCCGTATTGATATGCAGGCGGAACATGCAGTTAAGCAAGTTTCTATGCAGAGGCATAATTTGAGGAATATTAAGGGTCCTGTCTGCACTGTGCCACATTGTTTGGATGGATGTGGCTATCGTGGTTATCGCTGAAAGTCAATGCTCATCTGCTGCTACTCAGAAGTACTTGCAGCTCCCCTGGCTTTCAGCCCTGTGGCAGAGCAATGTTGCTATGCAGTGATAGATGGGAAGTGTGGATACCATAGCAGGAATTATGATATATTCTTTTATTTACAGGGCAGACGACTGACCTTTCAGAATAAATAGAATGGAGGGAAAACAGGAGATACTCATTTATCTTGTAAAACACTCCCCTACAAAACCAATAAAGTCTGCAGATTAAGTTCATGGACTCTTCAAACCAGAAGAGAGACGGCACTGGGCTCCCCAGTGACACCAGTGACACCAGCCATCATCTTTGGTTGTATAACTGATTTCTCTCCTTGTACAATCCCATCGTGATCAATAATCCAGACTGGGCAGATCGTAAAGCTCTAATCTTTATCTTTCCAAACTCAGCACTTCCATAACCTTTGTCTCTGCTAACAGAATAATTTCTAGCCCCAGACCCTCTGAGGATACATCTTGCTCTAGTCAATACAAAAGTATCATGGAATATTTTGGGACACTAACACTGGGCTGTCTGTGCTGCTGAAGTGTTGAAGGCTCCCTGACATGTGTTTGGTGTATGACAACCAGCACCCTCACAGGTGGTTCCTGGGCAGAGGTAGGCACTTAAGACCTGCCAGGGACCATGCCAAAGAGGCAGATTGTATGCAGTCCCCCTCTTTTACAGGCTAGAACACTTTATTATCACAGGCATAGAGTGCATCATGCATGCTGGCTTCAGTATGAAAGAATGTACCCAAGCATATTTAATTTATTTGTATAGATTTAGCCTGATTAAATTCCAGAATGTTTCTAAAGTTCTCATGTTTCCTTGCTGGATGCCTGGAACTGAATTGATCTATTTCTGTTGGTCCTGATAAAAGCCCAACTCCCCTAGCTGTTCAAGACAAAAATGAAAAATAAATAGGCTCAGGAACCACTCAATGGCTACAGCACAGCCACTGGTTGACAGAAATTGTGAATAGGTTTGCTTGCCACAATAGAATGGCTTAGAAAAACATCAGAAACAACACTGCTGCAAACATGACATTCATCGGTATATCTGATGAGAGGCTGCAAATAAGCACTGACATTGTCAAGCATCTGTCAGTGGATGTAGGGAGGCACTGGCCAAATGGGAAACATCTGCATCTTCTCCAAACAAGAATCAGTGGAAAAAATGAAAGTCTGGAAATCAGGCTCTTTTTTTTTTTTTTTTTTTTTTAAAAAAAAAGACTTATAGGTATGAGGGATCACAGACCAAAGCATCTGTGCACTGTCAAAAGATCCATGTAATTCTGATGACCACACCATAGGACTATATTATGGGAAAGCAAAACCTGGAGGTGGCAGGGCACAGGAAGAGGACAATGCAGAAGATCTGGGTATAAGTGACACTGCAGGGTAGTTAAGCAGCACCAAATAAACACAGCCAAACAATACAGCAAACTGTTGCTGGTTTAAGAACTTGTTGGAAGGAGCAAGCCTGAACTCGAATGTTCATCTTGCTACAGTGGTGCTATCAGGTAACGACGGGGATTCACATGCCATGCCTTCAACTGGTGCTTCCAGGAGGGCTGCTGGCAGGGTCAAGTAGCTCTTAGGATGCAGCTGGAGTAAGCTAAGTACTAGGAGGTTGCTATCCTTAGCTGGACACAGCAGTTTCAGTGTCACAATGGAGACATGGTATAAACCTGTTCTTTTCTCCCTGCCTTTCACAACTCACCTCCAGGGTACCCAACCCTGCTGTTGCTTGATGGCTGGTCACAGAGTCCACTTTCCCTGCTACATCTCTGTTAACTAATTTAGCAGGTATCTGCATTGTCATCATCTCCCAGATCTGGTAGGTTAGATTATCTCTTGGCTTTCATTGCTCAGTCACTTTGCCTTGTTCCCTTTCGGCTCATAGCTGCAAGGGATGTCAATGGACCAGGATTAGAACTGTTAAAATCTCTGATAAGACTGGTCTAAAACTTGCTGCACTTTCAGCATGATCTTATAAATGTTCTTCTCTGTGCAATGAATGTACATAGTGTATCTGAGTAGGTAACATCAAAGGCTTGATGTGGCTTGAAACACCTCTTGCTCCACGCACCTCACTGTAGGCTACTAGCCTTCCTTGGACTTATGCACCTCATCATGCACTGGAATTGGTTATAAGACAAATGACTGGGCTTTCAAAACCCAAATATACCCAGAAACTGCATCACTGATTCTGCTGAAAATCAGACAATTTCTACTTAGATGCTGAAACACAAATGTGGAGGCATTATTTTTAGGAATCAACATTGCAGGGCAGGCATGATTTGAGGATTTTGGGACCACATTCCCCCGGGAAAAGAAAGCAAAGACAAGGTAAAGGACAAGCTGGGCACAGAAGAGAAGGGAAAAGAAAGAAAGGGTTAAAAAGGTGCATGATGAGTGAAAGATGGTTAAGGAGGGGATTCTTAAAAGATATGTGCTTAACATAAGAATCCTCTCTTCGAAGAAGCAAGAAGAATATGACACATTCAGATTTGCTTTTTTTGGCATACAGAATCTGTTCAGTCCCTAAGTGACTGCAGCAATCACACAATCATAGAATGATTTGGGTTGGAAGGGACCTTAAAGCTCATCTAGTCCCACCCCCTGCCATAGGCAGGGACACCTTCCCCCAGCCCAAGTTGCCCAAAGCCCCGTCCAACCTGGCCTTGAACCCTTCCAGGGAGGGGGCAGCCACAGCTTCTCTGGGCAACCTGTGCCAGTGTCTCACCACCCTCACAGTGAAGAATTTCTGTCTTATATCTAACCTAAATCTACCCTCTTTATGTTTAAAGACATTTCCCTTGTCCTATCACTACAGACTCCCTCCCCATTTTTTTTGTAGCCCCTTTGAGCACTGGAAAGCTGCTACAAGGTCTCCCTGGAGCCTTCTCTTCTCCAGGCTGAACACCCCAACTCTCTCAGCCTGTCCTCACAGGGGAGCTGCTCCAGCCCCCTGAGCAACTTCATGGCCTCCTCTGGATGTGCTCAAGCATGTCCATATCATTCTTACAGTGGGGATGCCAAAGCTGGATGCAGTACTCCAGGTGGGGTCTCATGAGAGCAGAGCAGAGGGGGGAATCCCCTCCCTTGACCTGCTGGCCACTGTTCTTGATGCAGCCCAGGAGACGTTTGGCTTTCTGGGCTGTGAGCGCGCATTGATGGCTCATAATCAGGTCTGAATCCACCAACATCCCAAGTCCTTCTCCGCAGGGCTGCTCTCAATGCACTCATCACCCAGCCTGTATTTGTGCTTGGGATTACCTTGACCCACGTTCAGGACCTTGCACTTGGCCTTGTTGAACTTCATAGGTTCGCACGGACCCACATCTCAAGCCTGACAAGGCTGACCCTAATCTCCCACTTCTTATCTCTATGAGAGATTTCTAAGCCTTTCAGTCCTCCTAAGTGAGCAAGGCACCTTGTCTCTGCATACCCTGCCATAGCAGCTTGAATAACACAGAGTAAATAGATCTCATCAGAAGAAGGAGAGGCTTCTTGGGAATGATAAAACAACAATTAAAGCAAGAACTGCCGGGCTGGCTGGTAAGTGTGGGAGTGATGGGCTTCTTATTGATTGTACAGGAGACTTGCCTTGAGAAGTGGTTGGAAATTTTTTCCTTTAGTGTGAGAAAACTGAGAACAGAGCAGGAGCCAGTGCTGATATGAGGGATCAATGCAGACCATGGAATGAAGTTATTAATAAGTAATAAGACTGAACTTGGGAGCTAATCAAATAAAAAAGATATTTACTAGTTGGGGCATTGCACAGGCACTAGATTGCCATAGTAATGGCAATGGAGACATTAGAAACAATGAACTGTATAGCAAAAACTGGCTGAAAATCCCTCCTTGTGGAAGCATCTATTTAAAAGAATGGCTAAAACAGAACTATTTTCTAGAAGAAATATATTTCAGGATATTTAACAGGGGTTGTGAACAGGAACCAGTGATCTTTGGAGCATGTAAAAATTGAAACTAATGCTGGCAAAAGATGTCAGATAAACTTGCAATCTCAATTCCTCTAGTTATTACTAGCAGGGTGACAATTTCACACAGCTGGAAACCGAATGTCTAGGCTCTACAAATTTCTTCACCTGCAGGGACCATCTCCCATCATGCAAGATGGTTGTTCAGTCTTTGGCATCTTTTCCTGAAGCACCATTTGGTGTAAGCTTTAGAGGAAGAAGCCTATAGCTGTGAATGAAGGGGAAGTATTTCCCCCCAGCTTCACTGCATTCCCAACAATGTCTAGTCTTCCGATTCAGTACTCTAGGATGGGTGCAAAACCCAGGAGACCTCTACTAAACTCTATGTATTTTTTAAAAAAATGATAGAAGTGCAACATTTCTGTATCTTTTCTCAATACATTTCTTAGGATATTTGGATAAGTAAAGCATGTTTATAGCTTTTCATGATGTATTGTCTTCTCTGTTGAAATCCTCAGTGTCTTCTGATGGATTAGAAAATTGCTACTACTAAAATAGACTAGCTTATCCAGTCACACAAGTAACTCTAAAGCCAAGCTACAAATAACAACCACCATCAGCTTTTCACTACTGGGGAAAGCTTTCAGGAGAATTTTAAGCCTGATTTGCCTAATTTCCTTAAGATGATCTCCAAGTTCCAAGACTTGAATGAGGAAATTAATAGGAAGCAAATGAGAATACTGATTTTATTTCTACAATATGAAAAGGGAGCTAAGGGAGAAAGTCCCACAAGAAGGGTATTAGACACAGGAAATTTATAAGTTTGGGGTCCTACTTGGTAGTTTTCCAAAGAAGGAAAGCACTTCAGATGCCTCTTTGAGAAATGGGGAAAGAGCTGTCATTTTTATTCTGGTTTCAGCACTGCTAGTCATGCTGCTTTCCCAGCACTTCGGTGCTATGAAACTGAAAGGGCACATAAAAACTGTGAGAAGTGTGAGGTACAGTTCTGAATATGAATCTGTGTGTTGCACAGGGCAGAGGGCACATTCTCTACCTGAACTACACAAACCTTCCATAGCTCATGAGGATAAAGAAACTCCTCAGGACCATGCTGTTAAACGAAACCTGCACATCTGTGATATGGGATGCTCAGTGGCTTTGCAGGTGCGTGGTCCCATGTGAATTCTCAGATGAGTCCAGAATAGATTGGCTGTGCCACAGTCATACTCTGTAAGATTAACTGTGTTGCTGCTATCACAGCATAGCAATGATGACAATGTTTTGGGAATGTTTCCAGACAATCTGACAGAAGTAAGAGACCATTAGACAAGAATCAGTTCCCCCCACACCCATCCACCCACACCCTTTCCAGTCAGCACCTTATTTTTATGAGATTATGATTTGATGTTAGCCTTAAAACCACGGAGATATTTATTTAGTCCCCTTTCAATCTGGGGACTACACCAAGAGAGTTAACGTTTCCTTTTGTTCCTGACTCTGAGTACTTGGAGATTTAGAGCTGAGAGCTCTACTTATTCCCTCCACTTTTTTGTCATCTGCCATGAGGTTCTGGACCAAATGTCCTGCAGGGCATCAGGAGGGTTTGATTTGTCATTATTTAAAACAAATAATTATGTGTGGCTTAAGCCCAGTTTTGGTCTGGTATGACAAGAGGAACTAAAATCCCTGTGTGTTTAGTATAGTTTATACACATCTTCAGTACACAAGGTGTGGTTCATTGCTCTGAAATGGCTGAAGATTATCCTGAATTATGCTAATGACCTTCTCTGATTCCCTTTAATCCTTTCACCCTTACTCTAACCCTTCCTGGGAAGGGCTTAAAAACAACCCTGAGCAGGACCTTTACTGAGGGTAGTAAGACACACATAGTACATACATACCAACTATTTAATCAAAGCAGGAATGAACATCCCACCCAGCTGCCAAATGAGGTGTGTAGAGAGTATGGTGGGTTGGGCAGGATGGAGAATGAGTAATAGTTCAGACCTGAAGTAGAATCTTTAAGGAGACAGATTATCAAGGTAATTAATGACAGTAGCTGTGGAAAAAATTCTCCCTCACTGTCATACAGCTGCTCAGGTGAGGAACCCAACCAGGGACACAGTGCAGGGCCATGGAGAAGACAGAGAGTAGAAGTAGTGCTCTCCTTTCTGCTACCTGATCAGAGGATAACTTCAGGAAAAAATCTTGTTTCAGTGAAGCCTCCTTTTCAGAGGTACAATGTGCCTCCCTGATTCACTCTAGGATTCTCCATGCCTGTATTTTTTCCACCAGAAACAAAATTGTCAGGAAGGACAGCAGGCACATAACTTGGTTGAGTGTGGACCTCCTCCCCTAAAGATGTTCTTAGAGATTGGGTACTCTAGGAGCCACTGCTCCTCCACAGTCAATGCCTTCAGTGCCTGTTCACATGTATTTGTCCTTTTAGCTACCTTTCTGGGTTACTTACTGTATATGTTAATAGCATCTAAAGCCATCTGGAGGAGCTGATATTTAGTTATTATTCAAGACTATGAGAAAGAAAAGAAAATGTATCTGAAGATGATTATAGAGCTCCCCTTCTGTCCCTGGACCTGTCAAGAAAGTACCATATACTAATAGCTTTAACTTCCCTTCCTATTATGTTCTGATAAGATTTGCCTTTTGAAGCACTCTGACAAGATAAGTCAGGAGGCTGCTGAACTGGAATAAGTCATACAGGCACACAGAAGATGTGTGTGTGTGTGTCAAGACACACCAACCTGACGGCTAAGGTAGCCCACTGTACCTCTCATCAGAGAAAACAAACCCAAAAATCATTCCAAGTCTTATAGGGAGAAATTGCCTCTTCCACAAGTGAAATTCAGGGACCGAGAGCAGAAGCTGTGGTGAGACAGAGCAAGGGAAGCTATAGTTCTGGGAAATGGACAGAAAGTCCAAGAGCTAAGAGCAAGCTGAGGTGGTAGGAGGTGCTAAGAGCAAGCATCTGCGTAGTCTGGGGTCTTTTGGAGATAGTGCTGTTATTGGTGGCTTCTTTCTGCTGCAGAGAAAACTACTGGTATAGACAGATACTTTTAACAGAGCCAAGAGGCCCATCCTACTGAAACTAATGAGGGCACAATGCTACTTAATGAGGAAAGAAGACCAGGAGGAGGCAAGACTCTACTGACATTTGAATTTGAGGCCTTGCATGGAATTTAAAAAAAGAGAGAGGTTTCATATTCACCCTTTTTCACTTGTAAAGAAGCTTAATGGGACTGTGTGCATGTATGTAGTGGCCCACATATATGGGTGTTTACACTGGATCCTCAGCTAAGAAACATATATAATGCCCAAGAGGGATATGGGTGGGAGGCTTCATTGTTCTTTAGCCACACGTAAAATTGGGTGAAGACTAAATGCAATTTGCCTGGTGAAATTCTAAAAGCCCCCATCTTGATTCTGCCTCTTTTGAAATCAAGGGCGGTATCATCCCTGATTGTAAAAGGTGCAGGATCAAGGCCTTCTAGGATCTGGAGGCATTTTTCCAGGCTTTGTTTGTTCTTTGCAGTGAAATGTGTTTAATTCTCAAGAGAAAAGCTATTTTCCTTTCCTTCCTAACTCCTGAGTGCAAAGAAAAAAAAAAAAAAAAAAAAGAGGGAGGTGAGTAAAGCTGTCAGAGTTCCTAGGGAGCTAGCAGGACTGAATTCAGAAAGTCTACAATTAAATTAATGGATCCCCTTCCATGTGACCACTTGGACTAACGAGGGCACCTGCAACTAAGGGTGTATTTTTCATTGGCAGAATCACTAGTATTACACTAATACATAAAAATTCAGATGCTCCCAGGCTTTGTAGAATAGGTGCTCCTTATTCCAATAACTGTACATGGTTCCTTGCAAGTCAGGAGACAAAGGATGGAGCCAGTTCTGTAGTTGCAATGAGCTTTTGTCTGCTTTAAAATTGCTTGTCTTTTGTCCAAGAGTTGAGCACAGAGTCAGAGTGAAGCAAAGGGGTTATTTTCATTTCCAGATTAAGTAAATAAAAAAACTGACTGTGGACTGATGAGCATAGAAAATGCTCAAAAGCACAAGTCACAAGTGCTAAGATCTCATACTTCAAGGTTGAGAAGAAATGAAAACTGCTGCTCTATGGACATTCAGTGATACATTAAGTGTTTCCAGGACACCACCAGTGATCCATGTGGCCAGGAACAGCAGGTTCTGCGTGAGATAATTATTCTAATATTTCAAAACAGGACCCACTTCAATTAATGCAACAACAGCACTTGTATCCTACATATCAAAGAGAGGACAGAAGAAATGCAGTGAAGGATCCATCAGGTCTTCAATGACCTTTTAGTAATAAGCTAGGTAACATAATACAGTTTAGCTCCCTGGGTTCCTAAGGATGGGAGAAAATTGTTTGGTGCAGGGTGATTAGAGATGTGTTGTTTTTTTTCAGACCCACCACCACCAAAGCCAAATATCTCTTCAGTGCTATTTGCAACCGTAAAGCTCTATGGGTAAAGAACCCCCCAAAACTAACCCCAAACTCCCCACTTTTCTTCATGCTGGGATCAGAAAGTAATACAAGATCTTGAAGCCTGATCCAAGAGGCTCTCAAAAGCTCAAGCCC